ATTCGTTTAGGTGTGTAATGGAACAATGGAGGATACCTATGCCGCTGTGGATGAAGAAATAAAGGATATCAGAATTACGCTTAGGATCTGTGGGCCACCAATGTAGGAGAGTTGGAAGAAAGGGTGCCCAAACGTTGGGGATTGAGTGCAGCAATGTTCGGCCACGAGAATTCGTTGTTCTTGAACCCTATTGTTGGTGCTTGGGATCTAAGTGTGCACCCAAGATGAAGCGATGTCCTAAGGAGTCGGGGAAAGAATTGAACTGGGCATTGGATATGGTTCGGTTAGGAGTGCATAAACTGATGCAAGGGTAACCGGAAAGGAGAAGGTTTTGATTATGACAGCAGTGAATAGTAGGAAGCCTTGTGTTTTAGGTCATGGGAGACGGATTGATGTACAATAACAGCAGTACCGGCATGTGCTATTCTGTCAGGCTGGTTTGTACGATATGTCAAGTATTGTGGTATTTTTAAGAGCTGTTTAGTGTCGATCAATTATTAATTAAATACTCAGTAATTACTGCCACTTCAATATTCAGGAATACAACACTGTCTACGTTTGTATGATTTCTAACACCATTCGCATTCCAAAAGAGAATGGATACAGGTTTATTAGAAGTCATTTAAAGTTTTTTGGGGTTATATGACAAAGGATATGATGGGACAAAGGAGTAACAAGCGATCTGAATTGGGAAAGGAAAGAAGTAAGTAAACTGGTGAGAGCTGTGGCATTCGATGGAAGAGGAATTGTGTGTTGATAGAATTGTTGAGGATTATGCAATATATCTTCGTGTGATCATCCGCCTGGTAATTGTGGCACTGGACGATAACTCCCCTAGAATATGGCTTCTCGACTTCTATTCTTGTGTAGTATAATCTTGTTATTTCGTATATTTTTTCGATTCTTAGAGTCTGCTCCAAGTCTTTAAAAAATGATTGTAGAGGAGCTTTTACTCTTGGCTTTTCTTACAGTCTTTTAGAACATTTCTTACCTGGAGCGATTTGAAACCTAATGTTTTCAGTTTTATTCTATTGTTTCAGTTGGAGTTGAGGGGTGTAAATATCTTATAACTACTCTTATAGCTCGTTCCTGCCGCCATTGATACGTATGAAAATTCGCTTTGGTCTCTGTTAGATATTTCACAATTTTTCAAAAGATCTCAGCTGTATCTGATGATATTTTGGTGTAATTTGTTCTATTCAGGCATAAGTAGCTTCCAGAGAAAGTAGCTCCTGCTATTTTGTCTAATTGACAACATCGTAATTGAAAATGTTTTATGTTCTTAACGAATATAGGGAGAAGTCGGGAGTCTCTTGTTATCGGTGCGGACACCATTACCTCTCTATCATTCTAAAGCACTTGATAGAGATTGGGTGTAAAAACTTGTCTGTGATAATGTACCTGGTTGAGACAGAGGTTCTTCAGTGGCCTCTAGTGGTGAATTATCTAGGTGGGTTTCATGTTCTTCGGAGCTAATAGGTGTTATTGGAAGAGTTTGACGAGATTTACGAGGCTTTTATTTGATTAGAGAAGATCGAGGTGTCGAGCCTAATGACCTAGTTCTCTTATTAGCCACTCTACTAGTGATGGCCATTGTAATATAAAAAAAAAAATAATAATAGTATATATTTGTAACTGTTCACAGTCAACTCTTCTAATGTACTCCTTACCTGTATCAAGTGAATAATAACTGGGTCTTCTGAAAAAGCATTAAGTTAGTATCAGTTTTGGAATAATTTCCGTGGGCTTAACTCTGTCACTAGAGTGGACACCTATCCACTTCCCAATATTATTGAGACCCTTGATAGGGTCGGTAATTGCTTCTACTTCACTAATCTAGATTCTCATTCGCAAATAGGATAGAGAATAGACAGCGTTCAGCACACCGGATAGGCAACATGAGCATCTGCGCATGGCGTTCGAGTTGGCCGGTGCGTCACCTATCTTCCAGAGGCTGGTGGATTATGTGTTGGCTGATGTTTGTGGGGAATAGTATTGCCTAAATGCGGGACCGAGACTACTCTTGGTCTTGCAAACTCAGTCTTGGCCATGCGCAATATTCTTGCAGTTACTTATTCGCTTGTTACTACAAAGATATCACTGTATTTTTTTTAGATTTGGGAAACCTAACTAAGCCGAATATACCGATTATTAACATATAGTAACTAAGATTGTCAAGTATTAGTAACAATTTTGCTTTAATTTTTATTTAAATAATCGACTTTTTTTTAACAGTCTTCGTCATGCTCTTCAAGACCAACACCGATTTTGGACAACACTAGTGGGGAAGAATATCTGGTGTATTTCGAAGATGTAATTATATTTGAAGCGATGCCGAGGAATCAACACGCGTGGCTTGAGTGAGTCTTACAGAGGCTGCTGGATGCTTGACTTCTGATGTATATATAGAACTACCACTTCATAAATATAGAGCTTGTTTACCTTGTATATGTTATAATATAAGACGAAGTGAGACCAAATCCCCTGAAGATTGAGAGAATAATGGGATACCCGTTACCAAGAGATGTATAGGAACTCAGAACGTTTCTCAGGTTATTACCAGAGATTTATCAAGAATTGCGCTGGCCGTGCGCTGCCCCTCACGGAGATGACCATGAATAGTGTTCAGTTTGAGAGGAGATGCGCGGCATTGGAAGATCTTATGAATTTTTTAAAGCAAGAGCCTATCCTTACATATCGGGACTAGGGTTGTCAATCGATGCAGTGATGCAGTGATGAGTTGCCCTCAAGGCAGTGCTGTCGCAGGAAGTGAACGGAGTCGAAAAGTTGGTTGTCTACGCTTTCTGTCAATTACAGAAGACAGGGCAGAACTACGATGCTTCTTATATGGACGGAAGTTTGTAGTGTTGATGTACCATGCACTGCTAAAATGGACGTGGAAGTTGAAGGAACTAATTTCACGTTCGATACACTGGAAGATAAAGCTGGCCAAATTTTATTAAGTCCGGGAATCTGCACAGCAATGCTGATTCCTTAATTAGAGCGGTACGGACGATGGAAAATGAGATGGGCGGCAACATCGATAGAAAGTGGATCCTGCAAGAACAAGGAGGGGATGTGGTGTGCCAAAGGATTCTGTAAATCCTGAAATCCTCTTTTGTAATGGATGAGGAGGAGCTACTTTTTTACAGGTTAGATGAATAATACAACCTTGTGGTCCCAAATTCATTATGACCTGTCTTCTTATGATGGTTGCACGATGAGCCATTTGCGGACATGGTGGCATCAACCAAACTATCCAACGGGCGGCAAAGCGTCTGTTTTGGAAATCCATCCGGAAGGACGTCGAATAATAAGTTCTAGCATCCAGACCCAGCGTCTGAAGATACCTACTCCCTAATGTACCAAGTGAACTTCCTCACCAGATAACTAGTAGCATAGCCCATTAAATTAAGGATTTGATATCAAGAAAATTCATAATTGGCTGTAAATGTGGGGATTAGTTCCTCATCGAATTCAGAACAAACCATGAAAATTCCCCTCAAATCCCATGCCCGCTGCTATCCAAAATGGAGGGTCAAAGATGGCCACCTAAAACTATCTGTATTTTGTTCTGTTTTATCTCATATCTCCGTCAAAAAACCACCATTCTTGAATTATGCAGCACTAATATAATGGACAATGATACTTGTTTTGGATTCGATCGAAGTTCGCCTCTTAAAAAAATGATAAACGAGCGTAAAATGATCTTTTTGGGTTAAAAAATGCGAAATATTCTTGATTCTAATTCTGTCACCCCGCATAACTTTGAAACTATTGACAAATAGAAAATAATGTTTCTTATGGTTTTTGTAGTCCTAAGCAAGAGGAATGATCGAAAATTTGTTTTTTTAATATTTGCAGTAAATGTTGGAAATATGTTATTTTTTAATGAAAAATCGCGATCTCAAAGCTGAATCCCATCTCTGACCATTCGGACTGGACAGTTAGTTATGGATTATTAGCTATCAATCATTTCATTTAACTGAAGGACTTACAGCTAGTGACCATTTTAAATAGTAGATAAGCCTCATCATATTTCCCAGTCCGCTGGTGTTCCTCAAGGTAGTATCCTAGATCCTATCCTTTACACAGTTTATACAGCTGATATCCCAACCCATCCTAACACTGTTATTACCACGTATGCCGATGATACATGTGTCCTATCAATTAATAACGACCCAACAATTGCATCCCAAACCCTTCAATCACACATCACAAACCTTGAAGAATGGTTTCAAAACTGGAGGATCAAAATAAATTCCAATAAATCCCATCAAATCACCTTTACCCTTCGTCGTAAACCTATGCCCTCTTGTCCTACAGTATCCTTTAATAATACCACTTTAATAATAGCCTCATCATACCATTTTTTGGGGGGGAGGCTTCAGCCCGAATGCCCGTCCTCTCCGCATATGTCTGCCTCTGCACGCAACCAGATACAGATAAAAGTAAAAATGTACACATTTTTAGAATTACAACATGTAAAAATACATCTCTTATTCTTAATATCTTATGCTACAGTCATTAGAGAAATTATACAAACACGTCATAAGTTACATTTGTACTCTGTAATATTTATATTTTCAACCTAATAAATCGGTTAAAAAATTCATTCCGCATGAAACCAAACAGTGAAAGGAGAGGGGAGGGGGAGGGAGTTTAGATAAATATATGCTATTGCTTAAAACACACAGTTTTTTATGTTGTCTTGAAGAAAGTTTGCTTTTACTTTTTAAGTCATGTGATAATCTTTTCTATATTAAATATAATTAACATAATTGTCATGTTACAAACTTTTCTCCAATGAAGTTCATACTGAAATCAGTTTCAGGGGATAATTGTTTTAGTCAAAAAAATTTGTCAACTGTTTTTATATTTAAATGAAAATTAAAGTATTACACTGCGATTTATATACAAATAAACACATTTACATCGGTTATAAATTAACGTCAGTATAGGTTGAATGTTTCATTTATGCTTTGGTGGCAGTGATCTAGTATTGAGTTTTGTTGAGGCAGCTGTTCTGCATTGCAGGTCAGGCCAGGTTTTGTGATACGTTGTCAGTGTACTGTATTTAGATAGTCTGTCATTCTTGTCAATAATGGTATGTTTGAAGGTTGTGGTTATAAAATACATTTCATTAAAGATATTTTTATCTACCAGTCCTAATTTTCTTTTGTATCAAGTTTATGTCTCACAATAAATTTATAATAAGTTCATATTTTTCTCAGTTTCAGACCCTTGTCATTGCTAAATGTCCAAGTGATGAATTGTCTTATGAGAACAGTGCTGTAGGCAACAGAGAAGATTTTAGAGAAGATGTCAAGTTAGTATTTCCTTGGCTATATAATTTTGTTTAGGGATAATCTTTGCTATAAATCACATTTGATTTTTCCTTATATATCTTGGAAAAACAGAAGTCATCATTATTTCTACTGTAAAAGTTTGGTCATTTAGATGGTTTATTTGATGGCATAATGTGATGTAGAGCTTGTTCAATGAAATGTTTTTTTAAAACTTCAATACAAATTCCTATTAGATAAAGAGTTAATTCTTGCTTTATTTAAAAAATATCTCCATTATTTTGTTGTAAGTAATTATAGTTTATTCCAAGTGTGTTGTATGACATCATCTTTACATTACTCATTCATATTTAATATGTATCGTAACCTCAGGTTATTATGGGATTTAACCAGATGCTTGTGTTATTTCACTACTATTTATTTTTATTTAATTTGTTTTGGATTATACGTGGGATTGAATTGGTTCTTAAAGTGCTATCATTTATGTGATAAAATGATGAAATCATTATCAACATTGGCATCAACTAAATGAGGGAAGGAAGACTTCCCGAAATTATTTGGAGAATTTAACTTTCAAGATGACCCGACCCTCTTGGATATTACTTTTTAACACTCCAATCCATTTATATCATGATTGTCAATATTATAAATTTGTGATTAATGGATGTTTTATTTTATTAGGTATGTAGAAATTAATCAAGAGTATGTTTTCAAATTATCATATCATAGTGATATCAAAAAAGGTCAAATGGGCTTTAATACTCCGGGAAGGAAATGGGCTCAGCTTTCCCTTGGGGATAAATGTCAAGTAAGTTTGGTTATTTGTTTCATTTAATGTTTATATGTATTTTAATTGGTATATTAAATTGACGTGTTCACTTATGCTACTTTATTTTCATAATTCGATTAATTTGTATACAAATGCTGAGCGATTTCTTAGCATACCTTCATTAATCCACAACACATTGAAAAAGGTTATTCAATAAAATGATCTACTTGTTTTTATTTTTAAACAGAGAGAACTGTTTGTATGCAGATTTTTTTTTCCGTACAGTATAAAATAAATCCTTTTTATTATTTATCAGAAGACAGCCACCACTGATAAGGGTCTTATTTGAAGAATCTGTTCCTCTTAAGCTAAATTAGTGGCAGAAGCGAGAGGTGATCTACATACTATTAAAAAATTATAATGAAAATACTTTGTTATTATTACAGTGTTAGATCGCTATGGGTATATCTCAGCTGTCAACTTTCTCTCGCTACTATGGCTCAAGAAATTAAGAAAGTCAAAAGAGCAATTTTAAATTTAAAAAACCTTTTTTGCCCAATATTTTATTAAAATAAACTGCAAACTTCTTTTGCAACAATGGATTACATTATGAAGAAGTTGCGCTGATACTGTAAGGACTAAAAGAACATCATGAACTAGAAAAAAACCTATCCTGGTTACTGAATGAATAACCATTTTCAAAGTGTTGCAGGCCATGAGTAAGTTTTGAAAAAAATTCTCAAAACTTTTATTGGAAAATTTCAAACATTAAATCCAGTATTTCTAAACATACTACAGTCTAGTAATTGAAAACATATATTTTACTTACCTATTTACAATTTAAATAAAAGACCACAAAAAGTTGTTTTCAAGTATTATCTTTTATCAGTAAGTTTTTTCTCATTAATACCTTATTTTTAATTTAATCAATGTAAATTTATTTTAAATATTTTTAGGCTAGACCTTTTTCGTTTTCTCCTACATCTACTTCACATTGCTTATGCAGCATGACTCTAGAAACTGACTACATCAGGAAAAAACCGTAAGTTTCACCATATATTCCTGACTGGGTTAAATAAATTCCCAAGTTGAATTCTATTTTTTTTTCTTCAAATTAATATTATTTTGGTTTATTATTTTCAATAATCAACCATTGTGATTGACCAAAAAATTCAAAAACTTAACTCCCTCTCAAAATTTGAGGTTTCATGTTTCAGGATGTGTAGAATTCGAAAAACGAATAAAAATATTTTTGTCCGTCCGCCGTACGTGCATTTTCTCCGAAACTACTGGACCGATTTTTTTTTCAAATTTTGATATAAAATCAGAGGTCACTTCTTCATCCACATTAGTCTCCGCCTTTAACTTTCAAAATAGCGTCCAGTTTTTTTTTTATATGTTCTACTCCAAATGTTATATCCTTTGTTTGGTTGTTAAATTTTAAATTTTAAATGTGTTACTGAACTAATGCTATTTTTTTTTAGCATATTACTAATGATTAAAGAAAAACAGTTTAGTCCAATAATTGAAATCACCTTTTGTTTTTTTTTCTTTGTAACTCGGAAGGTAATGTTACTTTAGATGTATAATTGTTCGGAAATAATAAACCATTGTGAAATAATTTGCAGCGTTTTAAAGTACTATGTAACAAAAAAAAAAAATATGATAAAATTTATCTTCTTAAGAATTTCTTGTCAAGTTCATAAAATAAACTTAAGCTTATGAAATATTTAATCTTGTTTTTTAGATCTAATCCACAAACTGCTTATGACACTGATCAGATGGCTCAAGATTTTCTAATGAAGTTCTCTAGGTTTCCATTTTCTGTTGGACAGCCTCTTGCATTCAACTTTAAAGATCAAGAGATATTTAGTCTTGTTGTTACAAGTCTAGAAGGTAAATTTTTCATTTATTAATTCAATAGTCATGAATACTAGTTTATATCAAAAATTCATTATTCTATATATTATATAGGCAGGCACACTTTTGTTGTCCTGATTACTCTACCTGTATAGGTTACGTTTCCTTTGAAAAGTAAACAAGCAGTTTCTTAACCAAATTATATTTATTTTAAACAATAATTATTTCTCAGGTTGGTTGAGACAACAAACACACATTCCTCAATTATAAATATAAAATCATGCATTAATTGTACATAAATTTTCATTCATTTTGTCGGGATCTACTCTTGGCGCGCTTTCCAACTGTCACTATTTATATTTCACTTGCCCTGTTCTGCAGTGAATCCTCCTATGTATTGTTGTATTCAATTTCTACAATCTTCTATTCTCCCTTATTGACACTCACTACTTATTATTCACTTTTTCTTCTCTTGATCCTCTTTACTAGCTGTCTGGTTACCTTCTCTCTTCATATGGGACTTGCTTCCCCTTCCATCTCTTTCTTCGCTTCTTTGTCCATTTTGGACAGTATTTCGTAACATAACTGCTTTTTCGCCACCATTTAAAATCGCTATGTAATATTTACATTGCATTATGTGTAATTTATGAAAAAGTGATACATCATTGGATAGGTATTGTACTGAATACTTAAACAAGTTTTACTCATATCATGTGTTTTAATGACCATGTATATTAAAACTACACCTTCACATCCCGAGTCAGAAGTGATGTGAGTCAGGTCTGGGCCGGTTGAAATTTATTTTGTGGCAGACAGAATACATCCGAAGTACTTTGATGAAATTAAAACGTAATGCTCTTATTTTAAGGCACTTACCTTGTTTTTGCATTGATAAATAAGATAGTAATATGTAAAAAAATGCACTTAAAAGTTGAGTTTCATCATAAAAAGTACATTGCGACTTTTTGCAACAAACTGACGATATATATATTTACTTGAGAAACAGTTCTCTATTTCTATTCTATTTACATGGTATTCATTGCTTGATATATTTAATTTGTTTCATATATTTCTCATGCTTCTAAAGAAATTTCCGTATTACAAAAATTATTTAGCAATTTATTGTGGACGAATAAAAATAAAATTATGTTTTTATAAATAACCCTTTAAATTCCTAATCAATATCAAATATGCAGTATATGGCATTTTATTTATTTAAAAAAATTCTATTTCTTATAAATGATATTTTAAAAAAAAATTCCGAGATCAAATAAATTACTCACTAAATGTCTTCACATTAATGCCTTTTCATAATTAATTTTTTGCATACAATGTAACTTTAGTTCTCGAATTTAAGCAGCTACGTTTCATATCTAATAAAAACTATAGGATGTATGATAATCATATATTCCTGCCAGAAACTAGATAAGCCTTTTGCAATTGATAATATTATATCAAAAGTAAAGCACTGCTAAGCATGGAGGGTTTGAAATTTACTAGCTGAAAATAAAAATTTAAAAATTAATAGAAGAAAATGTGGGGTGGTACATGGATTACAAAACTTTCACAAATCTCCCTAATTTGAGCAGAAATAGGTATAGTGAGTGCATTGAAACTAAAATTAAAGAAGGGATTTTGAAAGTTCAGAATTCATATCCTGTTAAGTCTAAATATTGAGTCGTTTCAATGATGAAAATATTTGCCTGATATTTAAATTCACTTGATTTTAGTCAAAATTTGTATAATATTGGTGTAATTAATTTAATTTAAATTATTAAAGTCCTTTTTGAGAAAACTTTTAAAATATGTAACAAATATGGTACTATGAATGTATCCCACTTTCGGTTTCTCAATTTTAGTGAAAAAGTAGTTGTAACATCACAGACATATACCTGCTTTAAATACATAATTTCAGTTTCATACAACTGTTCATTTTTGAGCTAGGTTGTTCACGCACATACTCAGGCCATTTTTTGAAACTTGGTTCATTGAACTCAAGTGATTTCACATGATCATTTTTGTTGAAAATTGATCTCATTACTATTTTCTCTTACACAAAGGTTTTTTTTTTTAAGATTGGGAACAACCATTACATTAGAATCAATTATCTACATTATAATCATGAGTTTCTTAACAGAAATATTGTGTTGATAATTCTTTTCAGATTTTTTATTTGAGTGATGCTTGAAAAGATGATATTAAAGAAAGTTCCAAATCAACGCAACACTGTTTAAATGTTTGATTAATTATGATCTTTTAATGATTTAAATTTTTAACAAGTGAAGAAATACAATAGTATCCTAATAATTTATTTGGATTCGATTCACCTGTCCTTTGAATATAAAAACAATCTATTATGTATATAAAACAGATGTCGTTCTACAGTGAATACCAGGACACTGTGGTTTGACAGGTAATGGAAATGCTGACCGATTAGCAAAAGAAGGTGCCGGAAAAGGTCAGCCAGATATGCCAATCCCTTTTTTGACGGCAAAGAAGAAAATCAAAACAGTAATCATTGAAGAACTGGAACAGAAACAGCAGTCGGAGTTAAAAGAGAAACAATGGGCTTCTTTGCTAGAAGAAAATGGAAGAGTGCCAGTGGATCTCCCTAGAAGTGAACTGGTCATTGCACAGTCCAGGATGAAAACCATACATGACTATCTCCAAAGCAATGTATACTGTATTGGAGTTGTCGATTCAGCAATATGTCCACTGTGTCGACAGGGATCCATGACTGCTCTGCATCTACTGACTTGTTCCGGACTACAGGACATTAGAAATAAAGCCGGGACAGAAGTTGAAATTTCCTGGGCTGCTAGACGTCACATGGCCGAAAGAGCTCAAGACGATCAAGGCATAAAATAAAAAAAAAGAATAAAAAATCTAATTCGGCACTCTAAATAATTCATATTTATTTTTGCCTTCTTATTATTTTAGATATTTGATATTTTGAATTTTTAAAAAATCTGGTCTTAAATAATTGTAGTATGTTGATAATTTGTATTTTATTCTGTCGGTATTATCGGGATTCTACTGTAGTTACTTATTTTTTTTTTTAAATTAAACCTTCCTTGAAAAATTTTACTTGTTTTAATTAGTTTTTTTATATTATTTATGTTTATTTTGATAATTCTTCTTTCAGCTGCTGATATTAAAGCTATAGAAGCTGGCCAAGATGCAAAACCAGTGAAGATAAAAATTGGTCTTTGTTTAGGAGATACCATAGTCATATTCAACAAAAAAGAAGGGTCTCTTTTAAATCTTGTGGGAAAAAGTAAAGGGTAAGATTTTTATACTTGATGAGTAGAATAATTAATTAGTTCACAAACCTAACTTTGATTTTTAAAATTTCAGAAAAGAAGCAAGAGTGTCAATAATCAATCCAAATTGGGATTTTGGAAAAATGGGGATAGGAGGTTTAGGAACTGAATTTAATGCAATTTTCCGACGAGCTTTTGCTTCGAGGGTGTTTCCACCAGAAGTGGTTGAACAATTAGGTGATTATATATTTTGCTATTATCGATTTATTTAGTATACTAATAATTATTAGTATTATTAGTCCGGTGTCCCTAAGCCAATGCCAATGCTGATAGTATTGGATTTTAATATAATCTTGATCCCTTACTTGCCAGTGTGTTTATGACACTCTCTTCATTTATTGTATTGCAGTATGCCTCTTTAAAAAAATAGAATAAACATTTTTAAAAGTTGTAAAATATTATTCCATAATATAAAGGATGATCAAATGTTTAATAATTTTATTTTGATAAATTATCATTTATATAAAACATGTTTTTATTAATTTTATTGCTGGCATAACTTTTGATTAAAATGTTATTCTATTTACTACTGATAATTTACCAAGCACACAAGAACAGAAAAGGATTATGGAAAGATTCATACATTAAGAAATTTTATCAATTTTTAATAGTAACTAAATGCAGCTTAAGAAAAATTTGGAAATATATTAATTTATGAATGAGTAATTGTTATTTGTTATGAAAACAATCTACCAAAAAAAATCAGTTAATTTTTTTTTCTCATAAACTTATTGAAATCTATAATCTGTAAATGTTTTCAAAAATTTCCTTATTTTTACCTGATGTAAGTTAATAAAATAATTCGTTTTAATTTTTATTATTATTATTTTTTTTATTTTTAGGATGTAATCATGTGAAGGGCATTTTGCTGTATGGACCTCCTGGAACTGGAAAAACTCTAATGGCGAGACAAATAGGTAAAATGCTTAATGCTAGGGAACCAAAAATTGTTAATGGTCCTCAAATTCTGGATAAGTATGTAGGAGAATCAGAGGCAAACATAAGGAGACTATTTGCTGATGCTGAAGAAGAACAAAAAAGGGTTATTATTCATTAGTTCCTAAAGGCATTTTTAAGATATTTTATTTGTTTTCTTTTTCAACAAAAGCATATTTTGTAGTTATACAACAATTATTTAATTTAAAACAATTTTATGCAGAAATATTATTTAATTTTTTTAAATTTTTGTTGCTGAGTAATGCTTAATTTATGCAGTTATCAAATTTTGTTTTTGATTTAATTATTGTTTGATGTAGTTTTTTTAAACATTGAAATTCTTAGCTTTGATTGCAGAAATTATTTTTTACCTCTTATTCTCATACTATTTTTTTTTTTTTTTTATAACATAACTAGTCTTCTGAATTATTAATGACACTTTTCTTTGTTTCTAATCGAATAGTAGATTGTATTGTATTGGACAAGACTGGGAATAACTCATGAGCTTATGATGAATTTTCAGTAGTTGAGAAGAGCATATTGGGTTGGGCACATATGATGCAGTTATTAAAAAAATATATATATAAAATAAAAAATTTTAAAATGAGACTTTAATAGTAAAATAATAATTATTTTGAGAGGATAACTTCAAATTTTTCCTCTATACTATTCATATAATTTAGTGGAGGACAACATTATCTATATTTGTCAGGCTTTATTTCCAGTACTAAAATGTTTTATTCTGTACATCATAGAATCTTCATTTAAGTTTTTGTATCACATGTTACTTCTATAATTTGAAGCTACTAAAAGCTTATTCTTATAATAAAAATATTTTATTATAAAATAAACTTTGGTTGTGTTTAACACAGAGCATTTGTCATTCCTTTGGAAAGAGTTTATTAGTTATCTATTAATTATATTGCTAAATAGTGTAAAGTAAAGTTTTCTTGTAGTTAATCTGATGAAAATTTAGTTTTATTTTGTAAGTTTGAATTTTTTTCTTCTTTTATCATCTCCAGCGAAATAACAAATTAAATCACTTTTTTATGCTTTTTCAAATTATCGAAAAAATTAAATAAGTACAACTAATTAACAGGATTACAAAATTCTTTTAGTTGGGCCCTAACTCTGGTCTTCATATCATCATCTTGGATGAAATGGATGCTATATGTAAAGCTAGAGGGTCAGTTGGAGGTAACACAGGAGTACATGATACTGTAGTAAATCAGCTCCTTTCCAAAATAGATGGTGTTGATCAGTTGAATAATATTTTGATTATTGGAATGACAAACAGAAGAGATATGATTGACGAAGCTTTACTCAGACCTGGTAGGCTTGAGGTATGTTAAAACCGTTAAAATAATTTTATAAACCCTCAGTATTATTAACATGGATAGTGTATTTGTCCATTTTCTCAATTTTTATAAGTGTATATATTTACCTCGTTAAAGCTAAGAGAACCCATCCCTAAACTTATGGAGATATACATAGTTGTTCCTCTGACTCCACTTGAGTGCTGCTTATATAATATAAACCAGGGTTTCTCAAATGTATGTAATCCTTATAAATATTTTTGGACCCCCTCTTAAACAATCGTTTTGCAAGCCACATCCGAATCCTAGGCATTTTAGGTCATTATGAATATAATTAGTTGAGTAACAATAAATACAAAAAGCTTAGTCATGTAGGATTTGTTATTAAGTCAGTTATTTAAATAAAAATGAAAAAGTTGAGCATTGAAAAGTTCAATTCAACTTTTTTTTTTCAGACCACGCTTTAAGAACCTATAATCTAGACCTATTAGCCTTTTATCATTTAAAAAAAAAAAATTAAAGGAAAAATTTTTCAAATCTTTATACTCAAATCCCCAGAATTTGTTTCATTAGTTTGGATTTCTCTCAATTAATCCACTGTTCAGCATATTCTCTGAGATGTTGACCATAAATCTACTCGTCTTGGAAATCGAATCTACTCGTGTTTTAATCACCTTCATTTTCCTCTTTTCTTATAAATTATCCTTTTATTTTAACTGTCTTTCTGTTCTGTCCATGTTAACTGCAACACAGTTTTTCTATTGAAGCCACCTCTTCCTCATCTTTTAGGGTATACAGGATTGTTCCCGGGCAGGATTAATGCCAGAGTTAAAAGCTCCTCAGCACCGGAACGCGAACTCATAATTATTATAACTTGTAAATTTCAGATTTTCAGGCCATGCATGTTTTACACATGCGTTAGCCTGCTCAACTGCCATACCCCGACAACTAAGGCACATTTTTTTTTATCCTCACCTTTAAGGCTATACAGGGTTTTCCTGAGCCAGGGGTGAGGGCTGGGATTTAAAAAACTCCCCTGGCACCAGGACGCGAACTCGTAACTATTTTTATCCGGCTATCTATGTATCAGGTTGCCGGACAACGGCAATGCTGTGCACACACGTTAGCTCTTCGGCCACGCCATACCCCAAAAAAGAATCTGTTAGTTTAAACTAATAATTCCTTGAGCTTTGGTAGTGCTTATCCACTGAGCTACCCCGCTACCTAAATTGAAGTCACTGCTTTTAAATGCAGTATTCTTGTTCCTATCTTCTAAATTGTCTTTACTTCCATTATTCATCATGCACCTTAACCAGCCTCATTCCCAAACTGTCATTCTGTCATCTTATCAATATCCTTAACTGATTTTCACTTTTCCTTCCCATATCCTGATTTTCTATGAAAAGATTGATGCAATCAATAGCGGATTGGTGTAGTTAAATGCTCTTATTCAGCATCCACTGGCTCTCGCGGTATCAATGAAAAGGTGCTGATGTAGAGGTGAGGTTATCTCTTTGAATCTTTGCTTTAATTCCCTATGAAGGATATAGAAGCTAAGTTTAGAGGAACAGGCAACGTTTAGGGCTGAGCTCCCGTGGGTGAGTGTAAATATAGCAAATATTTACGTATTGTAAAAACAATTTAAGCTTCTTTAAATATCTTGTATTTATAGTTGGACATGAATCTGCCATGACTTCTACATTTAAAGTTACAACAGTCATTTTAGTGGTAGATTGCAATATTATTATTAATCAGTAAAATAAATTAATTTTAATACTCCATTAATTTGTTTTATGTTTCAGTTGGAACATACTGTTCCAATATATATACTTATAAAATAATACTTATTTGACTCTAATTATGCTTTTAGGTTCAAATGGAAATAGGACTACCAAATGAACAAGGCAGGGTTGAAATTCTTCGAATCCACACAGCAAAGATGTATGACTATGACAAGATCTCAAAAGATGTAGACTTACGGGTAAGTTTTTTACTTTAACTGAATAGCTTGATGAATTTTCACTCTGTAAAATCATAAATTATCCACTTACAATTAGTTTGGCTACTTTTGACCTATCGTTGCTGTGTTTGAAAGCTTGTAACTGTATTTTGCTAAATTTTCCGAGGGAGAAAAAAAAAATTAAGTACATATTAAAAGTGATAGAGATTAAATTCCTTTGATTTTTACTGTGTAATATAATCCTTACTTATTCATAATTAAGTATATGTACTTCAAATCTCTCTTTGTATATAGAGCTCAGACTGGAGTTACGTGATTCAAATTAATTGATGGAGTTGTGAGGTTTTTATGTCTAAAATTGATATAATAACACGTAATTTCAGTTTATTACGACTTTTCATCTTTGAGCTAGACTGTTCATGAACACATTGACCATTTAACAAGACTTTATTTCCGTTGAAAACTTGGATAGTTTCCATTATTTTTTAGTACTATTTTAGTTGATATTATTAATTAATTGTTGTTTTTAGGAATTGGCATCTTTGACCAAGAATTTTAGTGGAGCTGAACTTGAAGGTTTAGTGAGAGCTGCACAGTCAACCGCAATGAATCGTTTAATAAAAGCTGCTTCTAAAGTTGAAGTTGATCCAGAAGCTATGAAAAAGCTGAGGATTGAAAGAGCTGATTTTATTCATGCTTTAGAACACGATATAAAGCCAGTATGTAAATGCTAATATATCATCTAAATTTTTAATCTATTATTTCCTTTCTTTACACTATTAGCTTATTATTTTTTTTTATTTATATTCTTATTTTATTTATAATTTTGTTTTTAAATTATATTAATAATTTTGTATGTAACGAGGTAAATAGTTTATAAAACTTACTATTCTTGTTAAGAGATTTTAGAATATAAGGTACTAAGGTAAGAAAAGCAAATTAAACTAAATTTAAAATCTGACGAAAGAGATTAAGAGAATTTCACTCCCATGAGTACCAGAATCACTTCTTCTTGAACAAGTCATCCCTGAATTTCCATTGCTTTGTGAAACATGTTATTTTTAAATTTAATTTATTACCTATTCTTATGTGCATAAAGCAAGGGACATTTTGATGTCCTTTTTTTTATTTTATTATTATATGTTTTTTTGGTGCAATGTGAAATGGTTAGTTATTTTAAATAAACAAAACTAAAGGTATTTTAGAGGAAGAAATTTTTGCATTTAAGACCTGTCAGAATAATTCAATGAAGATAATACCAGCCTAATATTGAAGAACACATGATTTTACTGTGATATAATGAATTTAACCAAAATAATTTCAATGATATATAGTGCCATATCCAGTTATTTGATTTGATGGACTAAATAATTGCTGTAACGTTCCAGGTATACACATACTTTAAATATGTAATTTCAGTTTTTGAGCTAGGCTGTTCACAAACACACACACCCAAACCAATTTGTAGCACTTTGGGCTAAAAGGGCCTTCAAAAGTATATTTCCATAGAAAACCTGGTTTTGAAATTTTTCAGTCACCATACTTTTTCTTACTATATATATTTCATATATATATATATATATATATATATATATATAAGTAAGTAAAAACAACACTTAAGTAAGTGTATTCACACATTACTTTAAAACGAAGTTTTATTATTACTAATTTGTCGATTCCAAATTCAATGTTATTTGATTAAAATAAATATGAAATTTGAGTTTTTAAAGTTAAAAAAATATAAAACAGATCTAAAAAAGAAATCAAAAAGAAATTTTTAAAAAGTCTTGAAATTCAATTCAAAATGATCGTGAACAGGAATACAATTGACTTCAAGAAGCTAATAGATCACTGAGTTAAAGCTCATTACGAAGAACCCATTACTGGTAGGCAATTATCTATGAAAAATCCCAAATGGTGGATGGGTGAAAGGGTCTATAGATTTGGATTTAACCACAGATAAGGCTGAATGACTTGCAAAATAACCATATAAATGTAATGGACTTCTAATTTGAAAATTAACCATATTTTCATGTGTATTCTTTTTATTTTATCTATACAATTAATACACCATGAATATTATATTTTGCAGGCTTTTGGGACCAGTGCTGAAGCTCTTGAAAATTGTTTGTCACAAGGTGTAATTAATTGGGGTGCACCTGTCGGGAGCATTCTTGAAGATGGGCGACTTCTATGCCAACAAGCAAAAGCATCTGAGACGTCTGGCCTTGTTTCTGTTTTACTTGAAGGTGAACGTTTTGTTATGAATTTATTATGTCTCGTTATGTTTGTATGATCAGCAGTTTTTTACTTAATCCAAGCTTTTAAGGGCTGTTAGATTAAATGTCTGCTGATCATCGTATCAGGATATTTATTATTCCTATAGTTCGAAAACTGCACATTCGATTTGAACCAAACTTCAAGAAAATTTGGAGAATAATATAGAAATTACCTGGTATCAATTTTGTTCAATTAATAATTAAAATTAATATAAATAATTGTTAACAATATAATGGCTGTGAAATGTGGAAGGCATTGATCGTCTGGAGTGGAAGTTAGATTAACACAGTACTTTTATGGGATCATAAAATTTTAGGTTTTATTCAAAAAGTTAATTTATATTTTATTGTTTTATCAATTCCAAACGTTACTGGCATGACACTTACTGCCGTTACTTACATTTCATGTAATTTTCAGTAAATTTAAATTAATTTTTACTCTGAGTTGGTATAAAAAAAAAGCTTATTTGAGATGGTGTTTATTTCTATGAAAGTTCAACTAGCTCTTCGTAGTCTTGATTTCATCCTTAAATATCCATGTTGTGTGTGAATTTCACAGATATTTTTACTTTCGCATACCTATATATGAAATATATAAGGGACAGTATTGCGATCATGAAAATTTTCAAATCTGAGTTTTCAACGGAAATACATGTTTTGAGGTCTCAGGAGACCTGAATCCAAATAACCAATCTCGTAAAATAGTATGTGTGTGTGTGCGTGTGTCTATATGTATGTGAAAGGCATAGCTCAAAAACGATAAGTCGTATGAAAGTGAAATTGCATATTTAAAGTTTGTATATACCTTAGAGGTCACAACAACTTTTTCGTTAAAATCAGCTAACCGGAAGTGGCACTTTATATCATCGAGGAGGCACATTTTTACTATTTCCTTGAAAACGGCTCCAACGATTTTGATTTAACTCGGTGTATTATTGTATAATTAAGTGGTCTTTAATATCTTTTAGTTCTTATCTCCATTGATGCCACTTTACAGAGCTTAAATGTCCAATGTTCATATATGTCTTCCTTTTAAGTACCTTTAATATGGTTTATTTAAAAATATTAACTCTCTTTTATTGACATTAACTATAAAAAATAGCTGAGTATGAAGTTTAAAGAATATTATAATTGAAAACTGGAGAAACAAAGAAAAATGCTTATCCAAGTTGAAAATGAATATCAATGTAAAATTAAGCAGTTTTTTATATTATGTTGGTTTTATTATCATTGATGTTTTCTATCAGGGCTTAAATGGCTAATTTTCAATATTAGCTTCCTCTAAAGTACCTTTAATTTTTTTTTATATTAAACATTTCACATTTATCTCCAATATAAAAAATAGTTAAATATAAAATATGAAAGAATTTGATATTTAACTAAAGAAGAAATAAGAGATCGTAACAGAATAGTTGTAATCAAGGAACCGCAGGGATACAATCACGGCCAAGCTGGCTTGAAGATTAGAACAGGCTTCCACAGTAACATGAGCTAAATATAATATAGACTCCCACAATATTATGTACATATACATATGCAGTTTTCCTAAATCTTTTCATTGGTTTTAATTAATATTTAATTGTATAGATTACAGCGATATAAATATTAAAACTTGTATATATAAGGGTACTTTAACAAATTAAAATATCCAATGAAATATAAAACAATATAGCGTTTATAATTTTTACTTTCACTTTCTCATTGTCTGAAAATACTTATTTCTGCTAAGAAGAGGGTGGTAAGTGAAAGTTGTTTGATTCGCGCACTCCAGATTTTTATATTTGAGTTAATTCCGAAAAAACAAAAAGTTGATTTTTTCTATTAAGTATTTATCACAACTGTTAGTACAAAAGGTCTTATTTAAATATTTTCTACTTTTATTTTATTTGTGCTAAAGGTGACGGTTTGTAGTCTGCAACTGATATAAGCAGTCTGCTGCGATGGAAAATCGCAGAGAGCAATAAAATACTAATAAATCATGAAAAAACAAAGTTCTTATGCTCTCCTGTAAAACATTCAATTTTTACATACAGTCTTTTGCACTAACAGTAGTGATATTAATGTTCAGTATGCACTGGATTTTGTTTTTAATCACAAATCATAAAATATGCAATCTGCAAATGCAGAACTCTTTCACATTTTAGTATTCAATGGAACCATCGAATTCCTCTCGTATCCAATCCTTACAATCCAAAATCCTTCGTAAAATCCTCAACGCTCCTTACTTTGTCACAAATAAAATCATCCATAAAGACCTTAATGTTCCATATGTTTCCGATCTGGCCCAATCCAGATACCTTTCCTTCCATAACAAACTGCAGAATCATCCGAATCCTCTCGTTTCAAACCTTGCTTCGTCCTCGATCCCTGATAATCCTCCGAGGCGTCTGGAAAGAAGATGGCCTCGGGATCTTCTAATATAGAACTTTAATTTGAGTTCTACCAATGGGTAGTTTCTCTTCATGTTGTACATGACATGTTACAAATTTCTCATTTACTTATTGTATTCTCTATGTAATACAGTTGTAAATTCCATTGAAATAATAAAAAAAAAAAAAAAAGTATTCAATGGACATAACTCATGAATATCAAACCTGTGTATGTTGAGGGATTACTGAATTTACGAAAACGGCTTCTCCCAGAGATTTAATCTCATACGAAAAATGTTAAACTGTTTAATGCTAATTTATTTATTTATTTTTTTTATTTTTTTTTATTTTTTTTTTTATTTTATTTTTTTTTTACAATTTCCTTGAAAACTGTTCAAAAGATTTTGATTATACTCGTTATATCAATCTACAACTAAATTTTGTTTAATATGAGCTAGGTATTATCCTTGTTGAAACAGTCTCACTCCCTGGACTTCAATGTCAGATTTCCAAAAGGGCTATCTCTAAAGTACATTGAATTTGGTTTAGTTGCAATAATAAAAAGTCATTCATTCTTAATAGCAATAAAAAAAATGGCTAAATATAAATATGAAAGAATTTTAAATAACAAAGGAAAACTTTTTTTTAAGGTTGATAACAAATTTTTAAGAAATAAGAGTATTCATGTATCATTGGAAAGCTGAGGGTTTAAATGAAATAATATTTAATTGAATCTTCTCATGAAACTGAAATATTTTAAAATTTGTTTAAGGTTCACAAACTAAAAATATATAATGCATTGAATTGTCATTTTGAAGTTGTTTAAAAATTATTTTGTCATATTTTTATGGGGGGAGGCGTAATGGAAATACAGACCGTCAAAAATGTTTCTATCAATGTTTGCGATAGATCAAATATCTGAAAATAACCTTGAATTAAATAACTTTTGCCCTGATAAATGGTTTTGAGCAGAATTTTTATGATTTGATTAGGTTGGTAAGCGAAAGTTGTGTTATTCACTTTGCACCAAATTTTTTTTGTGTATCTGAATTACTTTTTACTAATATATCTTATTGGTTTTATTAGGTCCACCAAATGCTGGAAAAACAGCATTAGCTGCTAAGTTGGCTAAAAATTCTGATTTCCCATTCATTAAAGTGTGTTCACCTGAAGACATGGTTGGCTTCACTGAATCTGCCAAATGTATGAGCATTCGAAAGGTAACTATTGAGTTTTCAAAAAAGTTTTTAAACTACATTAGTCCTCAAAATGGGTCATCCCATATTATTAATTTTTTTAATAAAGATAAAAAGTAAATATTGTTTTTGTTTTTTTTTCTATGAATTAATCATGAGTTATATAAGTTTGAACTGTATTAATTTTTTTTACTTAGCCTCTATTTTTATTAAATATCGAAAAGATTTATTCTTATTTCCATTTAGGTCTTTGATGATGCGTATAGATCCCATTTGAGCTGTATTTTAGTTGATAATATTGAACGTTTGTTGGACTACGGCCCGATTGGCCCAAGATATTCAAATCTGACTCTTCAGGCATTGTTAGTTCTTTTAAAGAAACAGCCTCCACCTGGAAGGAAACTCCTTATCCTCTGTACAACAAGCAGAAGGTAAGTTAAATCTTATGAATTTTCATTTATATTAAAATATTGAAGTATGTTTTAAATGATGTTTTGATTGAAATTATTCGGAATCAACGCTGTTGTTTGACTCATTGACTACCATTTAACTTGCTAGTGATATTATCTTGGATGCCAACGACAAGTTATCTTGCAGATTAGGTTTTTGCCTTTACTACAGTGGAATTCATAATATATCAGTGCAAATGTGAATAGTTATATAAAGTGAATAAAAAATAAAATGATGGCTTAAATAAAAAAATAATAATAAGTGTACCTATGCATAAATTACCTCGTAGTTAGGTTCTGCGTTGAGATGTACATTATATGAGCTTATTTCAAGATGATTACCAATATTCATTAAAAAAAAAATATTTAGATTTTCGCTATATTTCCAATTTGAAACATTGGCCACTTCATCTTTGTTTAGACTTTCATACATAATAAGTTGTCAAGTGGAAATATTATTTTTGTCACCTACTTGCTGTAGCTAGAGACAAATTACAACAAGCTGGCTAGAGATTGATTGGTCATGGAGGTTAGTCCAAAAGTATATCAAGCTCCAACAAGTTAAACTTGAAAATATGAGAAATAGACTAGTGGCGGATTTGAGAGAAGAGGGACGCCTGATAAAATGTTGCCCCACAATAACTCACACAATCATCCTACGTATAACTTTTTCTATATTTAGTTATTTGTAGTTTAATCTAGCCTTATGTAATATTTTGGTCAGTATCTTTTTGAAAGTATTGCACTTTCAAAAGTGCATGGCATGACAATATTTCTATATTTCAAAATCGGTCTTAAAACCAGTGTTATGATAATGTTTACTTGGGTTTAAATAAAAAGAACTTCTCAGTTTTATTGCTATAGATTTTAAAATTCCACTTCATTTTTGCTGCTATGCTCTTAAATTAATTATCTAAAAAATAGAACTGCAGAGATATTTGAAATTTATTTGCAGTTACATTGCAACACTTCATGCGAATATGCTCTCCATGTTTCATTTTTCTTGTAAACTTAAAAATATAATTTTCTTTTTAATCATAAATATGAAAATATAAATAACTATATTTTATACTCTATAGGCAGGTTTTGGAAGACATGGAAATGTTATCTGCTTTCACTGCGATTCTACATGTTCCAAATCTTAGTAAGCCTGAACATTTACTCGCTGTTGTAGAAGAATCAGAGATTTTTGGAAAGGATGATCTATCGATGTTTGCTAACAAGATTAAAGGTGTCAGGTATGTTAACCAAGTTAAGGATTAATAGTAATATTAGTACCAAATCCTCTGTTACCCAGACTGAATTTTTGCTTTGGATCCAATAAACATTTAAAAAATATTAAAGGTAAGTAAAGCTTAGTAAACAAAGTTTAGGATTTATACATTATTAGTACCAGTATTTCTGTTAACAGAATGGGAAATCGATATCAACAACATATTCTATAACGTTATCATCTAATTAAATTTTTTAAATTTATTTACAAATATGTCATGGTGTAAAAATCTATTTGTAAAAGATCCTTAATCTTGAAGTTAGGTACTGCTGGCCATGTGAAAAACAGATTTCTAAATAAAAACTAAGATGAAATAATACTGAACTAAACATTTACATGAAATAACATTACTTTATTCCAAGCCCACGAACAAAGTCTTTAACAACTTAATCAAATAAAAATTAAATTTGATTTACTAAATTAAACTAAAAATTAAGATGAAATAATACTGTACTAAAGATTAAAATGAAATAAAAATGCTTTATTCCAAGCCCACAAAAAACCCCCAAAACAACCAAATCCAGCTTCAAAGCTCAACTTGTTTCGGTGTTAGTTTCTCTTGTCTATATATACTTCAGGATCTTAATTTGATGATCAGCTATTGCTGGCAAAACTGTATTTATTTAATGTCAAATTCCCAATTGATATTGGGCCTATTAATCTGATTTGTTGATAAAGAAAATTTAGTTTAGTATGAATCCTTGTTTTATTGCAAAAAATAATTAAGTGAAATTTCATAAACTCAAATAATTAAGAGCATTGATTAATTTTCCTTTTGTGAAGTAAGGAACTTTTGCCCTTACTGTTGCTATATATGATAAATAAGAGAGTTAACTTCTTTTTCATGGACTTGCAGTATTTTTGTATAGATAAATAAGGTAAAAATTCACAGCAAACATATTTGAAAATTAACTACCTAATATATTATATACTACCTATATACTTATATACTACCTAATATATCATATATTAATTATATACCTAGTATATATATAATTAACTACCTAATAACTAAAATTACCTACCTACATACCTAAAATGTACTTGGTGACTTGATAAACTAACAAACACATATAATTGTAAAAAGTTTGTCTGTAAAGTTCATATATAAGTAAAAAAATAAAAATTATAATAGGGTGTAAGACAGTTATTCCACCAAATATTTGTATTATTATTTCTTGATATAAACCACAATTAAGTTTATTATTATCTACCATCATTAGCCATCTGCTAGCCAATTCCGCCTCGATCCCACACTGATACCAGTGTTCGGGATGATTCTCAAAAAACTCTTGTACTGCAATTTCAACTTCCGCAAAATTATCAAATTTTATTCCTTGAAGAAATCCATGTGTGGATGAGGCAAGGGTTTTTCAATAAATTTTCACGAATTTTTAATCTCTTAGCTGGTTGCTGAGGTGTAAGTTCGTGAGGGATCAGTCTACTGCTCTTTTTTCACCTTTCCCACAGGGAGTGGATAGCGACTAACAGTATATTTCGATGCACCACACTCAAGCAAGTTCGCTAGTACTTGTGGACGTATTTGACTCAACACCTCTCTGCAGAACCTCATTAATGGTTGCCTGGAAACCTTCCTTCTTCTTCTTCCACCATTGTATCTCCACTCCTAAATTTTTCAAACCAGCAACACGTAGTGTGCTGGTCAAGGAAACCTTCCCCTCCATATTTAATAATTTTGCAAGCTACTTCAGCGGCTGTGAAATTTTTTTTAGAGTAATGCCTTAAAATTACGAGAATTTCATAGGACGCTATCATATCTCTTCTTTGAAACAAATAACTAAAGTGAGAATTTTTTTGGAGAAGCCGAATGGGGTTAACACAAGCTTAGAGAATATTAAGTATTAAATAGGATTAAAATATTTAGAGCCCTTTGAAATCTTGAATTTGATATAACAGTCATATTTTTTTATTCACCCTATTACATTTAATCAGATAACTAAATATTGTCTCCTTTTAAATACTCTTCCTAAGACTTAATAAATACACTTGGTGCATATTTCCTTTGAATTCTTCTCTATTAAGATTCTTGAGCTGCTTCATAAATTCTATTTTAACAGGATTTTAAGCAAAAAAAGTAACATTTGTTGCATTTGGAATTAATTGTATTAAATTCTAGTTTTTCTTCTTATATACAGACAAAATATAACCACAGATCTTTCAATTAATGTTTGTTGCTTTTTTTGCTTCTCCTTTCTAACAGTCTCTTTGTTTGATAAAGTATGCTCTAATAATGTTAAGAACTTTACCGATATTTTTATAAATTCCTATTTGTTTCTTTTTTTCTAGAGTTTTTATCGGGATCAAGAAATTACTTGCTCTCATAGACATGGCTCGACAAATGGATAAGAAGTCAAGGGTATACAAGTTTCTGAGCAAACTTGAAGAAGAAGGAGCTTTAGGTGAAAGTGGAATACGTTAATATGCTTCCAAAGTCTTCAGCAGTTTTCTTAGGTCCCAGAGTTACCTATATACATATATCATGTGATTTTTTCTGTAAGATCTGTTCAAAAACCAATATTCTAAATGCAAATAGAAATCTAGTCTTGTGGTTTGGAGGTTGTGAGTTTTCAGTGGTATGTAGTCTATTTTTCTCCCAATATATGTATATATATATATTGTCATTAATGTTTGCACTTTTTGAACAGATCATATGTTTTTGTATACAAAAGTAGATTTTTGTTTTTTATATTATAAACTGTATCTGCAATTTTTTAGAATTCACAGTCACTATACTTAATTGTAACATAAGAAAAGACGTCTTTATAAGCTGTCACCTTATTTTTGAAAAGTATTACTTTTATTTATTTATTATTATTTTTTTTTAATTATGAGCATTTATATGTTTATGTTTTAATTTATATAATGTGATAAGATCTCTTTGTATTGCTTATTTATTTGTTTCAGTTTCAGTTTCAGTTATCTGTGTTTGTTATATATTTTGCAAATATTTAAAAAAAGTGTTGTTATATTTCTAATTTTTGATAGAAATAAAGCAATAATTAGGTAATCATACTTAAAGTATGTTACATTCCATGTTAAGTGATTATTTATCTCATAGTACGAGTATTGTTGAATAAATGTTTTTTATGAATGACTTTTTTTTTTTAATTTTCTTTTACCAGACAAAGTTCAAGCTATTATTTATTCTGGAAATACTGAGCAGAGTGGACATATGCTGATGTTAATAGCTGTAGAAACAATATTGATCTTCTCATTATTAACATACTGTTTGTAAAAAAACCTCTTACTGATCTACATATTGTATATATGTTTTTTTAATATGTTTCATCATACAATTGTATTGAATGAAAATGAGGGGAAAAATTGAAGCGGCCTTGAGGACGGTACTTGCTGACACTTCTTCATTCCCCTATAACGGAATAATTTTTATCACCTCTCAAACCTTTTTATTAAGGGCATCGTTCCAAACTTCTTTATTTTGTTTTTTATCTAACTTTTATACAATTTAAATGTTTTATTTTTACAATATGATCTTCTATACCATTTTAAAAAATATATAATCTGTTAAACTTTTATTTTTTATGCAATCTAATTAGTCAAAAGTAAAAACAAAAATGTTTTATGTTTCTGTTATTTTTTCTTTTAAAAAAAAAAATCTTACATATGTTATTATAGTACCAAGTATGGAAGTAATATATATAAAACATGCTGGTTAAAAATTGTGTATTTGATCTTATTGTGCAATTGGCATTACACATGTATAGAGGTAGGTAATAAGTACAACAAGCCTAGACTCATTTTTATCAACTCAGTTCACTATCGTCAGACAGTTATAAACAAGTTAATCTCTTTCTTTTGAATATCTAATATCATATTGCTTTATATTTCAATTTAAAAGAAAGCTTTATGTGAGATTTCTTTAATGAAATCTACCAGTGAAAAATTCCACAAATTAGAGACCTTTAGTTAAAATGATTTGGATTTATAAATAAAAAACTATGTTCTCTATATAAAAATTTATTATTTCAACTTATGAACTTGAGCAAAGAATATATACAATTAATAAAAGATAATAAAATAACAATAAACATATTTCATCACACATAATATAAAATGGAACAAGGTCAATTAAAAAATGTACTTTAAGTTATAGTGATAGCTCAACTACTATCTCCGTATAATATATATTTGTTAAAATACATCAATAAATTGTATAAGATATAATTACGTAATTTATAAAGTCTATTAGACTTAGTACCTAATAATAATTTATTACGTATAAAACAAGAAGTAAGAGGTATATGTAGTTAATTTAAATGCATTTAATGTGAATAAATTAATTTAATTATACACTTCTGTTATACAGTAGTTCAGTATGTATATAGCAATATATATAAATTATATGCATATACACTTTATTATATTTTATATCAAGTTATTTATTTTATATTTTCTACAACAAATAGAAATATATTCCCTTATAAGAGCACATATTTTAGCAGGAAGGAAATGAAACCTTTGGTATATAAGGCAATAAATACCCTTTACAATAATAGTAATGTGTAGAGAAGAAAGTTAAAAAAAAAAAATCTAGTATTACATTAAAAGTTTTGAGATTTTTTTATGTCATTTAAGGGGGTGAATACAAAAGTTTGTGTACTCAAAACTCAGGGGGGTTGGTTAAAGACACCATTAATTTGAAATTACTTTAAGGATTTCAGCTTGTCAAGTGACCAGGAAGTCACTATGAGAATAGAAAAGAAAACCCTAATGGACTGAAAATAGAAGAGTATTATTTACTATTAAAATTATTATTATTATTAGTTTTATTTCCTTTCATTAACTATTTTAAACTTTTTAGAAAATAAAAAAAGACATTTTAAGTTATTTTCATTCAAGAGAAAATGTTTAAATGAGTAAATTAAAACAAAGGTTTCATAATGTATGCTTCTGAGTGGGTATTTCTACTCTCTAATTACATATGTATTTAACTCAGGAAACTGAGATTGTCTTTGTTCATAATTAATTGATAATTATATACCTATATAAATATTCAATACAAACACTAACATATTAAGTACTATCATGCAAAAATAAATACATCTAATTTTTACAATATTTATATGTATACATTTACATGCATAAGTATTCATTACATCTAATCATCTAATAATTCAGAACTATGAATCTAAATTAAAACAATGATAGAGTGTATAGGGAAATAGAAAAAAAAAAAATACTATTTTCCAATATAATAAATTTTAACTACAAATCAAAATGTCATATCTCAATATATATTTTAAAGCTTACATATTTAATAATTTTTAAATTAAAACAGAGTTTGGCAAAATAATGTGTTACGAATTAAACAGTTTGAAAAATCTTACAAATTTTCTATTTGAATAGTTACTAATCCAAATCCTTAGAAACATGTAAGTGATATGCAAAATTTGTTTCTGAATTAATACATTTTTGAACCTAAAATAGTTCGAAAGATAACTGGCGATTAATATATCAAAAGAATAGCACAGCAATCTTTTTTTTACAACCAAAAATAATTTATTAATTCAAATCATTAAATTTAATTTTTTACTACTATTACCTTTTTCTCTTATTATTACTTTTGATTTTACATACTTTCTTCTCTAATTTTGATTAATTTTTGGTTATTCATACCATTAAATTCTACATTGTGATAAACTGTTGTTTTTTTCTCTTTCATTTGTTTTCTTAATTATCCTTTTGTTTTAGGAACTGACATTTTCCGCTTACTCAAAATTAATTGATATTTGATTGAACACTGATTTCACTGTAATGTCTATTAGAAGATGCAATAAATTCCAATTTTTATGTTTTTAATTTAAGGATCCTAATAATTTAATTATGATGGATATGAGTAATGAAATTAAATACATTAGAAACATCCGAGTCTCTTCAAGAACATAACACATTGATTTACTAAACCTATTATTTTCTAATGCCTAATATTCAATTTAAACAATAAATTCTCCATGGTAACAGTATACTATATAATTTATTTATTCTGGCTTTTGATTTTCATGATGTAATAAATATATTATGTTATGATTTATTTACATGACTTTATGTACAAAAATAATCAATCATTCATCCATTATCACTATTGAAGTTTTTGCAACTTCTTCTTTTCTTTCTCTTTGTTATAAGCTTTCTGGTAGAAATCAAAGAAAAGAGCAAAAAATATTATAGAATGGACTAGAAGAAACGCTGCAATAAGTTTTGGATAGCCACAGTCAAAGAAGAGAACTTGAGCTGAGTGAAAGAAGACAATTGTAAATTGTGCCTGAAAACATACAAAACATATCATATAATTAATTTTAATTTAAAATAAACATACAACAGCTGAAATTGCTTATTTAAGTCAATAGAAAAATAACCATCATATTTTGTTAAATGAAATGAAAACAATTTCTAATTTATTTGTTGTTAAGGTAATTATTTTTATGATAAAATTTACTATGAGTTAATCAATCAAGCTTCTCTTGTAGGTTCTATATGGAAATGTTTCTATCCATGATCAGCAATAATTAACAATTTTTAGGAATTTTAAAATTTTTTTAGGAATTAAAAAATGTTATCTCTTGGTTTTTTGCAAATGTTTATTTATTATTTATTGTGTAGAAAGATTGACACTAACAGTCCAAAACATTACCAATAAGCTCTAATAGGCAAAGATTGTTTTAAAATTAAATGCTTATCTTTATAATTATTTTAAATTATACAAATGTATTAACCGAATAAGCAGTTTGTTTGAACATGCTAATATATGACACTAAATTTGTTTTTTATAGATATTGCACTGTTTTTTTAGTTATTTCCAAATATATTTATAGTGTTGGCAACAATAGAATAAAAATTACTTAAAAAATATTAAATGTTTAAATGGTGTGTTCAAAGGTTAATCATACACCCACTTAAAGGTAATTGGGAGAGTAATTCAACATTAGCATAGATTTCAGAAATAATACTCTCCAATCTTAAAATTTTGTTTTCACCAAGGGCTCTTCTTTTTGAAGGCGTTTATACCATTAAAAAATAAAACATTTAAAATTACCATTTGTGCTTCTATTGTTAAATTTTTTGATATTTAAAAATATTCCAAGTCTAATAAAAATAACTAGAGTTTAAATATTGTAATCAATCGTGGTTTAAGATTTAAGACAGTTTAGGATGAGACAAATTTTTTCCCATTTTTAATAAATTGTTTTTTAATATATTATGCAGGTGTTTAAACAATTTTATCTAAAACATTAATTGAAACATTTCAGAAAAAAAGTAATGTTGGGAGACAAATAATTATATAACTTATTAATTCTTTCTTTATCTTACCAGTTGTAAGGTAGTTAAATGTTGTTTCCACCAAAGATATTTCTGGTACTGAGGTCCCATTGCAGAAAGCATGTAATATGTGTACATGATGATGTGAACAAGATTATTTACTAAGTTCGAAAAAGTTCCATGACCTCCTGCAAAAAACAAAAACAATATCTTGCAAAAAGTGCTTTTTTGTAAATTGATAAAGCTTTATGGTATTAGAATAGAATAGAAGATAAATCTATTCTAAGACAGAGTCCCATGAGAATAACACATAGTACAAAAAAAAAATTCTGGCTAAAAGGCTTGATCCATTAAGTAAAATAAGAATAAAAAGGAAACATTAAAGTAGCTATATGCAAAACAAATAAAACTATTTGTAAAAATCTTAAAATAATAATATGATAAAAATCTCTGCTTAAAACCAAAAAAAAAAAAATATATATGAAAAGTGAGCAAAAAAAGAATTAATCTCTGATAACTTAGCAATTAGTCTCCAATAATAATAAAAAAAAAATATAGTAAATTAACAATATATACAAAACAAAACAAATGAAACTATGTACAAGATACTTAAAATTATATAAAATCAAATGAACAATGATCCAAATATCTTATAAGACAAAATAAAAAAAATACAAAGGAAAACAAAATTAAATTAAAATCCTTTAATGGATGAGTATCAAGTCTCCAATAAATAAAAGAAGATACATCTGTTATTTAAACCTGTTTTCAAATACATATAAATCGCCTTACATTCAAGAAACAAATAAAAGAAAAGGAAATAACAATACAAAAAACGAACATGTGCTTTATTTGTTTAACACGTATACATCAAGAATAAGATATAAAATGAAGAAGAAGAGGCATTTTATGTGATATCTGACTGCTTAGTGGATAGGAATTGGAAAAGGAGAATTTTAAATAAGAAAAAGGAGGAAGCATGCTGGATTTTTAAAGGGAGGTAATTCTAAAAAGTATCACAACAGGCAACAAAAGAGCTTTGGAATGAGGCAGATTTGTGAAAATGGATGTAAAGATCAGAAGGTAGAAATCTTGTGGTAGGGAAATGGACTGAGGGCTTGAATTAGAGACAGTCAGTTGTAAGTATAAGAAGGACATTCGTTGATGATTTGATAATGGAATGTGTCCAGGAAATATTGTCTTCGGAAGGAGGGGAAGAGCCACTCTAACTCAGTGTAGTGTTGGGAAACATCTTGGGGTCCCAATCACAAATCTTATGAAGCTATTCATAAGTCATTTCAGTCTATCATGGAGCTCCACCGAGAGACTATCGAACACCACACAAGTATAGTCAAATTGGAAGAAGACGAGGGAGGAAACAAGGAATCTGCATGCATGTTTGGATAGGAGATGGCAAATGGGATGGAGTTTTGAGATAGAAATTGCACATCAGATGTGGGAAACATGGTGATTCCAGGAGAGGGTTTGATCAATGAAAAAGCCTAAATGTTTAACAGAGGAGAAGAAGGTGATGGATTGGTCATTTAGGTGTAGTATGGGAAACTTGGCAAGGGATCTAAGGAAGGGCTTGGGACCAATGACAATAGCCTGAGTTTTAGCAGCATTTAACCTTAATCCCTTTGAGTTTTTCCAGGCACTGATTCAATTAAGATCTTCTTGAATCTTGGCAAATGCCACTTATAATTCAGAAGGGTTATTGTTGATTTTATATAGATTTAAATAAAAAAGTGGGATTGTTAAATTCTTTACTATATATATCCACTCACATAAACATACAAATACTTATATTTGTTATATTTATGCTAGAAAATAGATAATGATGGAGATGAAGAAACAAACTGCGTTTAAATAAAGTTTGAGCGAAATTCTTACATATATAGATATTCATGCAAATAAATATACAAATATTATCATTACATTTATGAAAGAAGATTGTGGTAGTTAAGGTACTGGAGAAAAAGTGATTAATTGAAGTTAAAGAAGAGGCTTTACAAATTGAGTGGGTTTTTATAGGAAGCACTTTAATGCAAGTTAAGGATATCAAGAATAAAGGGAGATTTTTTAATTATTAAGGATTGAAACAGAAAGGATTCAAGGTGGCGTCATAGAAAATAATCTTGTACTTTATAACTTTTTAAGAGTAATTGCAAAGGCCCTATTTTAAATTTTTAAGGATTTGAAAAAAATTGCATCCAAAATATGTCATTTTCAAAGATAAAATAAAAAATAAAAAAAGTCTTATTACTTACATATTCCACATCTACAAACCAAACAATGAAATGTTAAATTTTAGTTACTAGTGTTGTAAGGAGATTCATATCTTTTTTGTATTTTAAATGGTTGTTAAATGTATATTGTCCAAGGATAGTTCTTTGACGTGTTCGCATAGTGAAAGCTTGTCTAGGCTTCTAGTTCTTATCTTTCTTTCAATTTAATATTATATATTTTTTTAATTTATTTTTTCTTTCCTAAAAATATAGTTGAAAAGTGCTGTAAATTGATTAATAGTTCTTACCTGCTAAAAACTTGACACAGACCCATGTTTCAATAGGTGTTAAGGAATGGTGATAGAGATGGAGCAGAGTAATCTGATTGTCTTTTTTCCTCAAGACAAAGAATAACTGTAATAAATTATTATAAAATTATCACTGATCAGTAATAGAATGGTTTTAATTATTTAAAAACAATTAATAATCACATATAACCATTGATGCAAGAAATACAACAATTGAAAGATATCATGGAACCATATGTAATAGATTGGATAGAAAATATTTAAAAAAAAAAAAACAATTATCCTTGATTATAACTAGATAATGAGAGTTAAAGTACAGTCATGGTAAAAAGTTGTTCGTGGTCTTCCTCAGTACTACATGTACTATTAGCTAGTAAAGATGCTTCGATCTTCAACTTGAGTCTAGAAAGCGCATGGTTATGTATCAAGTTGAAACTTTTCCCAGCTCTTTCTTGTCATATAAACCGGTTTCTAATCAGCCAACATCTCTATTCTAAGTCTAGGAGACAATTTTATTTTATTCTAAAATAACATTGTTAAATCCGGTGAAAACAACTTGACATTTATTTTATTAAAACTAACAATAAAAGAAATGTTGATAAATAAAATATTTTATCTTGGACTCTAAACATGTACATTATAGGTCCGTAATAAATTTTCTTAACACTTACACACTTCAATTTTCTGAATGAAATTTAAATTTCAGTTTTTTTCCATAATAATTTGTTGTAGAGATAATTGAAATGAAGATTAGACAAGTATAGATGACCTCGGGATTTTATGCATGTATTCCTAAATAACAACATGTACATTATAGTAAAAGGTAACAGAAAAAAAAATTAAAATGAATGCATGGGTAGTTAACACCCTCTATAATTGTTGACACCTTTAAATCTACCAAGAGCTGTAAATCTATAATTAATAGAGTGGTGAAATTAGATTTTTTTCTCAATTTAAAATTCGATAAAAAATAACTGATTTAAAAAAGATGTTCAAACAAATAATTTGTAGCAATCTATACCAATTTTTTTTTTTAAATTAGAAAAATGTAGATCCAAAATTTATTTTTCATTGGATGATTTGACCCTTTTCATCAGTTCCCACTCGTATCTACTACTTATGTACTCTATCTAATCTTTGCAGTTGCAAAATGAATTCTTAAAGATCAGTTCCTTACAGAATTTTTTTAATTTCTACAAGAATATGTTGCTGACTGGGAGAGCCAACTGACAGTGCATGTCCAACCCAAGTGGATCTGTCAACTTCCAACTGATTCCGCTCATTCAATTCAACGTCTCTTCTCTAAAAGGCTTCTTTGACTCCATCCTCTCAAGTGTGTCTGGGTCTTTTAACTACCATTGACTCTGGTTTTATATACCAGTTTAGCTACTCTTATTATCTGTAATTTGTCTCTAATCGATTTTACTCTTTCCTAGTGTATCATTCTATCTACCTCAGATACTTTATTCTCATACCTTTATTCTTGTTCCTGTTCTTGGATGTCAAAGTCTGTGGATTAGGACTAATAATTGTGATAATACAATGAGTCCAATTTGCGGTAGTGATATAAATTTGTAACTGCTGAAAATAATTGATAAATTAAGGTTTTTCCATTTTAGTTAATTTATCACGTATAGTTATCTGTGACCACGAGAGATTCAAGAGGGGGAGGGCTTTTGGGTGGAAGCAACTTTAATTTTCTTTGTCCATTTTTGTTTCTATGAATGATCTGAACCAAATGCTTAAACAATTGCAATATATTGCCTTTTTAAATCATAACGCATATACTAAATGTAAGGAGGTGTCAAGAAAACTATACAAATTCTCTTGTCATTCATTTAAACCATTAATAAAAAAAACACTTCAAAAATGAATTTTTAATAATTCAAGTTCACTATTTCTAATAATACTTGGCAACAAAGCAAATGTTTTGGGCTCAAAAAACAGTTGCTTGCTTTCGTCAATTCATTCGTATTTCCATTTGCTGAATTCAAAAATCACCATACAAATGACAGATTAGCTCTTGCTTTGGATGAATTTTTTTTGGCAGTTTGTACACTGGTCAAATAACAAAACACAAATGCTCTTCAGACTTTTTCCCACCTAGTTAGTGATGAACATGGAGAAAGATTCCATCAGGACATTTCTTTTATGGAACAAAGATATCAGGACCATTGGAATGAAGCAATGCTTGCGGATTAATATTGGTCTTTGGGTAGGGATGCTCCAGAACTCTGGTAAGCTAAAAGACGAGGATCTCATGAAGCCACCACATAATCTCTTCAGACACAAACATCTGCAAGGTATTTTTCCAGCAATTTAGAACTCTTAGAATGTAACTACCATTTTGAAAAATCAAATGCACTTTCAATGTTGTTAGCATATATAAATAAAATGTATCTTTTTCTTTTAACCCATTAATATGAAAAACTTCCACCTAGTGTATATCACAGAAACTAGAGCTAAGAAAAATTTGTCATTGTCATATTCGTTTGTATCAACCAAAAATTAGTAAGAATTGACTCATGAAGTGTTGGAAACATTCAAAAATTTGTTTTTTGTTGACCAGTGTAATCTAAAAAAATAATTTGATAGGTGATTTAAAAATTTTTTGAGGAAAGATGCTACTGTCTACCAGAAAGTATCAAATTAACACCTTCCAGTATAGGAAGCTATAGCTAGTTAATTAACTAGCTATAGCTTAACACAACCAAAATGTTGGTCACAAAGATTTTGATATTTATTTAAGATAAGTTAATTTTGAACATAATTACTAATTGTCTAACAATCACATTAAAAGAAACTTCCATATTTTACATCACAAAAAATTAAAACTTTACTCACCGTATCCATAAACTCTGTTAATTTTGAAATATAATACCACCAACAGAGATTGGCCATCTGAAAAATTGTAAAGTATGATATAGTTTTATTAAAATTTAGTTAATATTAAATTATATTTCAATATTATATTATTAATAAATATAACACCAACATTTGAAGAAGAATGTATTGAAAATAAGTAGAATGTTAATTGATTTATTCTCTTTTACCCATATAAACAACAGAAGAAATATCTCCTTCAATAAATATTATTAAATTTTCTCAAATCTTTAGATGACACAAGAACACACAATGTTTAATAACACTTCAACATAAGTTGCAGGTATTCATAACGGCAAATATGAAATAAAACAGAAGGTGACAAAACTTGTCCAGTTGACCAAAGTATTGAATTGTATATTGTAATATTCTTTGTGTAGCATTTTGCTTTCATGACTTTCACCAAATAAAATTCACTCGCTATTGACCTATACATGTTCTATTTAATTAAATGTTGTTCGAAGAAACAAAATTTAAAATAATGATGGATTCTGAAATAATGAATTATTAAAGAATTTTTAGACATGTGGAAATATTTTTGGAGCTTTGGTTTTATCTTTGTTAAAATGTTTATGTTAATGTTCTTTATATTTAACTCCAGAATACAAAGAAAGTATTTTATTAATACTTTATTGGTATTTAATAAATTTCTAATTCAAATATAAAAAGAAAATTTTATTTTATTTTTTTTTTGTCCTTAGTTCACATATTGCACATTTCCTTAATAGCATGAATGTTGAATACATACAATTTTTTTTTCAAAATAACTAAGTATTAGCCTGAAAAAATGTATCTATTCCAGATAAATCACTTCGCTTGGTTACACATTGCAATAATATAATATAAATGATTTTTTAATTTTTTCTGAAGATTGGCTAGTGGTTATTCCTATAAATGTAATAGATTATGAAAGTTAGACATACCTAATAGTTATTTTTATTTATCATTTTTAATTATTATGAATAAATAACATTACTGACCCTCATTGCTGTTGGGTTGCGGGAGTAATCTACAGGCTGGCATTTATAACTGTAGTCAAGAAGCCATCCACTCATCAAGTGCTGAAAAATAAAATAAAGCAATGTCATTTATATGTTTTGATGAGAATACGATTAAATATTTGTAATTATTCAGAAAAATGATTTATCAATTCATGAGAACATAGTAGGTAATTTGTTATGACAGTTCGATCGGAAAATAAATAGATATACCTAGGAAATTGTATTAAATACAAAATCTGTGGAATAGGATGGATTTTTGTATGTGTTAATTTTTTCTAAACAGTATCATTATTTTTTGCAAATACTCTCAGAACAAAATATGGATAATATTATCAAAATAGAAAGGTGAGATTGCTGTTACAAGTTTAATTATTTATTTTTAAAAATTTAGAAACCTTAAAATATTATTATTTTAACTATAAATAAAAAGGGAATAGTTAATAAATGTATGATGAATCTATACACTATGTATATTTTGACTTGTCAAGCTGAGTATAAATTTTAAAAGTTTCCATGGAACATTTATTTTCCATTAAATAATATGAATATACTATAATAAAGTCTAAATATAGTATGCATTATTAATTACAACTACTATTATTAATTACAACTATTATTATTTATTAATTTTTCGTCACTCTCCATTAGCTTCTATGACTTGACCCAACCTGGCCAGGTTGGCTAGTCGTTATTTTCCGAGATCGACCCCCTCATTGAAGGACGCAAAATCATTTTTTTATATTTGTATAGTACCCCAAAAATAATTGTTTTGCATTCATTGATATCTCCAAATTGTTGAGGTCCTTTCGAGGGATCCCCAACATAAATATTTTGTACATTTTTATAGCCATGGAATGGTTGGAGACCCCTCTATGAAGGCCATAAAATCATTTTTTTGTATTTATCTAGTACCGTAGTATGTTTGCCGACAAAATAATTGCTTTGAATTAGTTTATTTTCACATATTTTTGGAGCTCCTCCGGTGGGGTCCGAACATAAATGTTTGATACTTTCTTTGGAGATAGAATGATTGGGGACACATTACATCCTTATGTGATATAGGTTCTTGCTTGTCGAAAATTACCACCGAATCCACAAAATATTGGTCATCAATAGAGACCGGATCTTTGTGCAGTTAAAATCCGAAAAACATGCAGCAAAAAACTCAAAACGTGCAGTGAAAATCCAAAATATGTAAAATTGTCTAATTGACATCTAAAATGTGAAAAAATCGTCTATTTTCTTTAATTTATGATATTAATACATCAAAATCCTAACAACCTTATGTTAAGCTTCTGAATAAAAATATTGTGTTACAAAAAAAATTAAAACGACAACTAACGGCGATACATAATCTAATAATAAATTACTATTACAATATTATATTATTATAATAATTATGATTAACCTAAATCTTGAAGAAAGAGAAATTAAAAACATAAATAATAATAAATATAAAGGTAATTCACAAAACAAATACAAAAAGGTTCTCAATAACTAAATATATTTGTTTAAATTTCTCTTAAATCGTTTAATTGACTGGCACATACAAGAAATGAAGTAATGTAGAGGAACTTAAAAAGATTAAAGGTATGAAGGATAAGTATATATTATATAGACCTGATCAATTGATTTCAGATATTTAATTTTAATTAAAAATATTATATGTTCATACATAATATAATGAAAACTTTATTTTTTAATTGAGTTGAAATTTAGAATGTATACATTTTGAAATTTGTTTCTGAACACTTATCTCTCCTATCACTTAATAAGTACGTCCTTTTAAGAAAAAGAGAGTTCAACATGAACTGATGTAAGGGGACTCATTTTGTAAAAAGAAACCACTGCTGGTTCTTTTGTCAACATTAACATTTATACCGTTAATACAGTCCTTACATTTTTCTATAAGAGTGTAACCTGTATTTGTTTCTATTACGGAGTAAAATTTTTCCTATTTCCCTATTGATTTTTCTAAGATTTTCTCCTACAGTTTCTATCAATTCAATTTGTTTATTAAGCGACAAATTTTGAGATTCTGAGCTAATGTTTGCGGTAATTTGACAAATATGAGTTATGAATGTCAAATCGAATACTAAATAAATGATTCGGTGAATGAAAAATTCATCAAAGTATTTACTTATTTAATTGTATGAAATGTTACTTAATGACTTTTTGCAATAAACCCACGATGTATAAAATGATAGCCCATTTTCCATTTATAACCGCTAACCGCGAAAACTACTTAAGCGTTCTTTACTAAATCCTTACTCTATTATCTTCATGTAATGGCACCCGGAAGTATCGGCAACAATAAAATCTATCGATTTTTCATAAATAAGAAATAATTCATCTGGTCAGTAATAGATTTATTTAAAAAAAATATTATATAGATCATTTAAAATATTCGGTAATTCATCATTCGGGAATCAATATCTACTCAGCAAAAAATAGCGTGTTTTTAGCAATCTTTTTAGCTGTTTTTAGAAATTACCTTGTCAGCCTAGATAATCAGCAAGGCAAAAAATAGATACGTCGATTTGATAAAAAATAATTATAATATTTTTTTTTTCTCTTAGGCTCTATTAACGACAGATTGTAATCTAAAACATATATTTATAAATATCACCATAGAGAAAATGTCATTTTGAATTTCTATTTGGTAAACGTAAAGGGAGACGTTATATAGAACTGATTGTATTAATTGATATTCGTTCCGGTGCATCACATTTGTCTTTTTTTCGGCAAAACAATGATTTTTCGTATTGTGTTATAAACTTTAAAATTTAAATGTAAAATTATTTAGTTATTGATTCATAATTTGTATGTTAGCAAATTATCAAGAAATATCAAGTGTTTATTAAAAATAATTAAAGATGTCTTGGAATGGGCTGAAATTTGTGCGGCTAGTGATACAGCTGAAGTTGCAAGACCTGCAATCATTCATGAAAATTCGACAGTGCATAAGTTTTCGCTCATGTTCATATAGATTACGTAGATATATTCGATAGTTAAGAGTCATTCCTGTCGATCATATGTCGAACAAGGTAGCACGAGTTAGCCAATTTAGAGTACTCATGATGTTTCCTGTGAAATTTTCAAAATCAATGGCTGAAATATTCCATATAATCTATAATAAATAAAAGGGAAAGTATAATAAATTGACTGTACCGACAGGACTGGATTAAACGGTGAATAGGCTAAGTGGCCGTGTAAAGACACTATATCGCTAGTACTGCCCACAGCAGGGATCGCCATCCCTTCCCTTACTGCCAACCTTTTATGCCTATCTATTTCACTGAAATCGTTCGCCGTAGCGGTTAATAATGAGGTTAGGTTAAATCTTGTTACTTCAATCCTACAATATACTTGTCCTATTTGATAACATAATCTAGAATCCTCGTACTTTCAACAGCTCCTCTGCTGTTGAAAGTACGACTACCGCTACTCTCAGGAGCGGTCAGAAAGCAATATGGATATGACGTCATACTTAAACTGCCGAGCAGTCCCAACGAAATATGCTCCTTTCTATTCCACTAAAACAGTGCTCAATTGTCAGCAGTCTCTGCGGTGGGCAGTACCAGCGAAATAGTAACGTTAGGCCTCATATAGGAAAGGGCCCTAAAAGAAATTACCGATTAGTCTTTATTGCCAATGATTTAAAATTAGAATGCATCTCAAGCGTAAGATTGACACTAGTTCATTCTATTAATAAAGGTGATACTGTATCACTCTGAAGGACACTATACACCGTCTCTAAGAAGAGAACAGAAGCGGAAAGCACGTATTTTTGAAAAGCATTTTATAAAATGTGAAATACTCATTTAATTATATTTAGTTCTTGTCTAAACTTCCAAACGAGTGCCCTGATCATGACCCAGAGGTTAGGGTCGAAACGTCAGCTAACCCATTATAAAAATTGTGACTGAAATTCCTGACGATTTGTTTTCATCTTTATGATTGATCAGTCGAATATTTACCCATCTCTTAATTATAATTAAATATTAAATAGTGTTATCGGCATCGAATCTTTGAATTCTTTTGTAGTTAATATTGATAGCACCATATAATTTATCAAGCCTCAATAGTTCTTATTGATTTCCTGATATTAAATATTCCATGTTGTCTCAACGGAGGATGGACACCCTGCGATACCTCCCATACTACGTTTCGATGAGGTGAATGATTTTAAAATAAAGGAATCATTTATCATATCATCATATCAAAAATCAAAGCAATGTTATGATAATTGAATTTTGTATGGGCGATATTTTTTTGAGATGAAGTATTCATCAATTCAAATTAATAACTTAAAATAAATCCGGATCAATAAGAAAAGCAGAAAGAAAGTTGAAAAATTCTCATTCTGATTCTAAAAAAATACATCTTTCTTTCGAGTTAGACTGTAAATTATATTAATTTATACAAGAGAAAGGAATAGAATTTAGGGTTCTACCAAGTGTCGGGTTGAATTTGGTGTATCACATAACAAAGCCCATACGTCCATAGATCGCTCAAGAAATGTAAAATGGTCGGATCACTGAATGATATGATGATAACGCCATCAATAATTACATGTAAACAGATCAATTGTGAGAGTTTTTTTTTTTTTTTTTTTTTTTTTTTTTTTTTTTTTTTTTTATGAATGTGGGTATTCACTGAATAAAAGAGGAAACACGACAAGTCTCTTTTTTATTCAAAACAATTTCTTATTCGTGTTACGTAATTTGTTTTAAAATTAAAATTTAAAATTGTTTAGCTGTTGATTCATAATTGGTTTGTTAAAAAATGTCAATTATTTATTAAAAAGGCATAGATAATGAACAAGGATGAGATAAGTATCAATTTTCATGCAATTATTCAATATTCAATAAATCCAATGGTTCTACTGGAGGGAGTTAATCGACTGTTCCACATATTATAGCTGATAAATAATCAGGAAGCAGTCATTTTATGATTTTATTGTTGCCGACGTTTCAAACCAAGCATGTAGGTCATCTTCAGGCCATGTCTCTAGTTCTCAAGGTGTTCAAGTACTCAAGTAGGTGAGTACTTGAATGAATTGAAATGAGAAGTACGGTTGAAACGCCGGCAACATTGAAAATATTTAAATGACTGCTCCCTGATTATTTATCAACGTGTAAGATTGTGCTATTATTTGTATCTTTAAAAAACGAACCTAATTATTTTTAAAAAGTTTTGAA